ACGGCGTAGCAGTCCCCAACGCAATGGGGAAGGCTCCCCAATTCGACCGACCAATCAGCATTGCCGAAAGCTGTCGGCGATAGCGCGTAGCAATTGTATGGAAACCAATCTTGAGATAAATAAATAAAGCTTGCCTGCTTGCCTTGACACTTTTGTCAAGAAGAACCAGGACAACAAACTAAAGAATAAGGAGGTCCCAGGTAGCAGTCATAGGTGTAAGATCTGCCTTAAGTTTAAACCTACCTCCAGAAATGCCCTGTGAGAGTTGAAATGCAGGCTGAAGGCTCTCAGGCTTACCATTGATGTGTGGTAAATAACTTAATGCAGACGGTAAATGTAACTGTGAATTGCCGCTCAGACCTGAAAGCGTCCGCTTTACGCCACCACCTGAAAAAATTGTAATCATAAACAATTATAAAGTTATCAAAACCGTCACTCGCTAGGTCAAATCTGAAGCTAATTTTTAAAACAGGTTTCCCTCCAATTAAAGACCACTTTTGGGACCAAGTTTTCCACGGTCTTCAATGGCTTTAGTCTCTTTTTCTTAGAATAAATTCATTTGAACTGATAGTAAAATAATTAAGCTGGTTTACCTTGATTTATTTTTGGAGTTTGAAGAAAAGGATCTTAATTAGCTTTAGTCTCTAGAATAATAAAGCTAAAAAACATTTGTTAATTTGGGACCACTGAAAATTGGTCTTTAATTGGAGGGTTTTTAATTGGAGGGTCTTTAATTAGTAATAAGTAGGGCATTACATAGACCGAAAGGAGAATGTAGCGTAATAGTCCCCTATATTGGGTATACCTGAATGATGATTGAATTAATATATTTACCATGTGTTCATTCAATTTAATAAATGATAAAATAATTTCTACACCAACAGATGTTTAATATAATTTTTATTTATATATTTTAATTTTTATAAAACAAGATTTTGGTACCACATGTTCATTCAATTAAAAACGTGAATGATAATATATTTTCCATATCAACAGATCAATGAAGAAAAGTATAGAGATTTCATACATTTTAAACTGGCAACACAACATTATTTTTTGCATAAAGCATGTTTTCAACTAGGCAAAGTTATTCGTGCAAACCGAAAGCTTCGGTTCATGGGCATGCGCATTTCTATTGGACTTTTTTTTAAAGCGAAAAAATGTGCAACCAATCAGACTGAGACTTTCGATTTCCGAAATTTGCCTAGTGGAAAACAGGCTTAAAACGTGATAAAGTGAAAAAAAAAAACACTAAATCAGTCTAAAACCATGAAGGAATGAGCTCAGGCTAGGCTAGGCAGGCCAGGCTAGGCCAGGCTTAGTTCACTCCAGCATCTTAGGGTGTGTTGCCTTGGAAAGCTTGTTTCCACCCTTATATATTAGTTTCAAAATTAAATTCTATAAACTTATTAACAATTGGTTAGAGCCTATTGTGACCATATAAAAATAGTAACAATAACAATTAATAAAATTGTTTATAATTTATTTAGCCTTTAGATCACAGATTGCTCTAGTCATACACTACAGTATGATTAAAAACTATTCCCTCCCGGACACAAACCTAGTATTTTTGAGTCAAGGTTTTTGGGCGGGGATTACAACGTAGCACTAACTACAATCACTACATTACCTCAGGAATTCAATTGTTCCATTGTGTACAGAGGATATATCTTTAGAATCTACTCAAAACCTTCAGAAATAATCTACTTTTAAGTTTTAGTGTGACTTGTCTAGCAAAGTACTTAATTTCTCCTTGTCTACCAAAGTACTTAATTTCTCTACTCCTAAAGCAACAATGCATACTTTCTTTTCTATAGAAGTCTCTGGAGACTATACTCGGTACCTCCATGTTCCAGAAACCCTTTCAGAATCACATGAATTATTAAGACAATTAAACATGTGGAAGCACATTCTTTAAAATTAAAGGTCAACAGACAGAATCCACCTATAGCTTTTAAAATCATTCTGTTGTACAATGAGAGTATTCAATATTATAACAACATTAATGATAAAATCAAGCTAATTTTCTAGATATTAAGTTTTGATTGCTTTTTTGAATAAAAGTACTATATCATATATACACAACAAACAATAAATTTATCTAAAAACCAGGTAGGCTGTTGCAGAATAGAAAAATAGGCTGCCACCTAGCAGGAGCGTTTGTTTACTGCCTATTATTGTACATTACTGCATTGTATCTTGAAAAGTACTACCACAATCAAGTGGGCGTCTTTCAAAATACTACAAAGGGCATTCATATCAATTTATTTCATTTTACCTACTGTAGCATTCGTGTTTCTTTATTCATCATTTCAATTTTATAATTACTTTTCCTCCACCTAGATGCTTTTAGAAAAATCATTGGAAAACGAAATTATATTTTTATTTTTTTCCTATCATTTAATAGGTTTGTTGAACAAGATAAAAAAAATCTCACCTAATAGACTTTCAATACCTCTATATCTAGTAATGAAAAGACCAAATCAGCGACTCCAGCTATTACTGGTCAAGTGACATATAGTGGGTAATATAGTGTGGGTAAGCATCCACATCGTAACCGTGCGCTCAATGAACACAGTATATTGAGAGAGTTTTGATGTTTTTTGACAGTGACCCAAAGTAAAGTAAGGCAGTAGGCCTATTTCTTTTTTAAATAGTGATTTATAATTACTTTGGCAATCTCCATGCATTTTATTTAGGCTCTGGAATGCTGCTAGTTTACGGTAGGGTACATGAAGGTACAGGCCTAGGCGGCACTGTGAGTGTTAAGCCTTGACCAGGGCCCAGAGCTGGGAGGGAGTTGTTATGCCTCAACTATATATCTCTGTAGTCAAGTATTGTAGGTAATAAAGTAGAAAATAACCCTTAACGGTACTGATTGCTGAACCTAAAATGCTGGTGATAACAGGCCTGGTTGGTACAGTACATCCAAATGCCAGTACGTAATATAATAATATGTCATATGATGATCATTATCCTCGGCAGCAACTACAAACATCCTATGATTTAATGTTGGATTTAAAATAACTGTAAAATAATACTCTTGCAACGAATGGGGAGATTCATGTTTTTTTTGTTTTTTTTTTGTCATGCTGCGATAGCATTTGCCATGAATAATATTGTTGACTTAGGCCTAGGCCTAAAAAGTACCTCAGCCAGCGACAACTCAGAAGGTACTATACTTTTCCTTGAAAAACTTCCAGGCTTTATTCCCACTATCCATTGGGCCTTACCAAACCAAACTGATAAATGTTTGAAAATTTAATTTTGGAACACTTCTTAGTGATTTACCAAATTATAATTCGCATTCCAACCAACATTTGCAGCATCTATCATGTGACTTGCATCAACAACAAGGCGGAGCCATATTCAATGCACTGTCATCTCGCGACCTTGATAGATGTAAACAAACCCTAATACCCACTATAAGTCATGTGACCCGAGCCGCAGACTGGGTTTATTGGAGGATTTAACAGAATATAATTTAACTTACCATCACGAAGAGAGGCGCTGATATTTTTTTGTTCTTCTAATGCGCGAACTACCTGCCGTTGCAGATGATATATTTCAATTTTGCGGGCTTCATGAAGTTTGAGTGTTTCTTGCAAGCGCCCATCTAAATCCTTCACCTTCTCGTCATATTCCATTCGTAAAGATCTACTATCTTCACCTAAAAATAAACAAAATTAACACTTGTTTCTTAGAAAATTGATCCGAGGAACATTTAAGGAGAATTAACTAAGTCCTGTCCAAACTATCAAATCGTCGCTCACATCACAAACTAACACAATCAAAGCAGATTTTGTTAGTTCGTAAAATCACAGTAGCGTGTCAAAACGAGCGCGTATTGGTTGTCAAGCAATTTTGTATTCTTTACCACACAAAAAGTCCTTAACAACAACAGCGCGTATTTTGACACGCTTTTTTGATTTCACGAACTAACACAATCTACTTTGATTGTGTCAGTTTGTGATGTGAGCGACGAAATGTTATATAACAAAACCTTGTGACATGCTTAAATACGGCCATGATGACATCACATCACAACCTGACCATAGCGACACTGTGACTCTATGGGCATGCAGTACAACTGTTTTTGTCAAAGAAAATATGATGAACTGAACTTGAACAAAGGTAGAGTTTTATAAGTGGTCATAAAATAAAGAATGTGATAATTCTGTCATTTTTTGCATGCAAATAACGTTACATTTTTTTCATAAAAATTACCCTATCTATTGACAGAATATGTCCACAAGTCAATGAAGTAGATCATAATTACAAATTAATATGAGAGATGGCTTATAGAAAAAACTCAGATCTAAATTACTTTGCTTCTTGTTGCTTAGAGATTAATAACTATGCTTTGTCAATTATATTTC